TGGGTTAAAAAAAAAAATACATATGGTTCAGAACAGATTAACTGTAATTACATTGAACCTTATGGGAAAATTTGATTCGGGTCGCGATCATTGTGGGTTGCGATCAGAGTCGCAGAACGAATTAAGTTCGTGAACCGAGGTACCACTGTATCTATTTTTTGAAACCCAAACTGTGATTGACAATAATTTTGTTGGTAAAATAGAGGAACTAGAGCTTCCATCCTTGTTGCTGTGTCATTAGTGCCATATCAGCCACCCAAGATGCTGGCAAAAATTTCTGGGAATCATAATCCGATCCTATCCGGAGAGCTCTATGATGGATAAGGCTCCTCCAGACAATAGCTGCAAGATTTGCTACTATCAATGGCTCTTGGAAAGCAAGGGAAAAACTTTTCTTTTTTTCTAAAATTCCTTGTTTCCTGAAAAGAAACCAACAGAAAGACTTTAAGTTTTGCTTTTGGCAATCTCAGACAACACCATAGGATGTCTGAATAAACAATGCCACGTGTGCCCTGCTCCAAAGAACTTATCTCTTATTATTATCTTTTAAGAAATTGGCTTTTGTTAATCTTGGGAGGAATAGTTCTCACATCCCAGTCTCTCTATATAGAGGGTTTGATGGTGATGGTAGTGGAGGTAACTCATTTTCCAAATAGCTGGTTAAATTTCAATTAATTCCTGTTTGGAAAAACCCAGAATTGAGCTGCAGACCGTCTAGTTTTAGGTGTGCACGGAACTGGCAACTTCCCAGTTAAATTCATTCTCCTTAACAACCTTTCTCAAGCCTGCATGGTTTTATTGGATACAGATGTTAGAAGCATAGAATATGAGAATATTGCCAATGAGACTTCTGAAACTTTATGAGATATTCATAAAAACATTTCTTCCTTGTGGGCTTTCATCTGGCGGCTATTGGGGAAGGGTATTCCCCATATATTAAGCTTATATAAGACTTTACAGGCCAACGTGAGCAATTGTAGATTGTTTCAGTGAAGCCATTAGATGAACAGTTTACAGACATACCTAAGAGTTATTGAAGTATACCATTAAACTACCCTGAGGATATATGTTCCTTAAACCCACAGCATTAATCTTGAAATCATTCTCTGACATAAAAAGTACATTTCTTTATATTAAAGAGAATTATTTTACAGAGTAAAATTATTATTAGAAGAGCATGAAGTTAATTTAGCTTAGCACAACATTCGCACAATAACTAACACTTCTCTACCTCAAGATTTATAATATAATTTCTTATCAAATGTAACTGAATCGTATGTAAGAATGAGCTACCCATTTCAGATAGCTTCAAACTTAAGTTCTTCTTCTGAATTCATCCTGATCTTACATTAAATTAATCATTCATATCTAATATTTGACAAATATTTATGGACAATTACCTGGGACAATACCATTTTCTCTCCCAAATCATAAAACATTCTTGTGTCACATATAGTTAGTCATATATATTTTCCTGAAATAAACCATCAAAGGCAAATCATACTTCCAATCTCTGAAATACGGGCAGTACAGTATCTTATTTCAGATTTTTTTGGTCACTTTCTGGAGGTATGCCTATCTAAGAATCACACAAGGATTTATGACTCTGGCACCCCTCATTTTATGTTCTTTTCTGGCATTGAGTTCCACTAATACTATTTCAGTACATGTCAGGGTCAGAATTTGGATACAGAAGTTGGGATAAAGAATTTGGTTGCTTTCTCTCAAATTGGCAGTTAGCCGGGTCTTCCTGGAATTCATTCTGTTTCATTAGCCTGTGTCCAAATTCCTTTTCTTGGAGATTTTATGCATGTGAGTCACTAATATTCTAATCCAAATTAAATTGTGCAGGCGATGCCTTCTTTGCCACAAATGCTCATGAAGTTCTACAGACAACAAAATCAGTCCTCTACCTCTAAATTTTGCATTGGTATGCTTTTGATCTGTGAAGAGGGATGGGATGATTTTCTCTAGCCATTTCATTCTGTTCACTCCTATCTGCTTTCAGTTGGTAGCAGCAAGATTACTACTTCCTCTCTTCCTCTACTTCATTGCCACCATTTTTTTCTACCTTGGCTGCTGTTTTCAGGGACTGACTTAGAAATGGATAGCAAAATCCTGAGACTAGGCTAGCTGGGATCACCCTCAAGAAAGGGTGCTGTTAAATATTTTTATCAAGTTTAAAAAATCATCAAGGAGGTAGGATTCTGTCTTGTATACAGAGAGAGTTCATTAGACAATAATTCATTTGGTCATTCACCAGCACCCACAGCATGCCAGGACTTTCTCTTTAAAGTGATTGTACTCTCAGTTTCTTAAATCAAGTCACAGAATCATCTTTAGCCATTTACCGCGTGTGCCCGAAAAGGGCACGAAGCAACGGAAACCCCACCTCCTGCGCTCACCAGCTGGGCTCTGC